CCCTGCCGAAGAAAATGTAATTACATACTTTACAGCATATCCAAATAGTTCTTTATCTAAAGCATCTAAAGATCTTGGTATACCGAAAACTTCAATACATAGAATTTTAAAAAGGCAAAATATGTTTCCTTATAAAATACATATAGTTCAACATCTCCGTGTTACTGATTATGATAAACGTATGAATTTTATTGCTTGGTTTCAGGTTAATAATCATGTTTTGTATAAAAAAAAAAACTTCATTGAATTTTTATTTAAAAACATTCATAAAATTTATTTATATTTTTATTCATTGTTACATTGATACTTAATTAAACAATAATACTATATTTAAACAGTCTATGATGGAAGATGATCCTTCACTTATAAAGAAAGTATTATGGACTGATGAATGTAAGTTCCAAAATAACGGAATATTGAACCGTCAAAATTCTCGTTATTGGAGTGACAAGAATCCTTGTTGGATGAGGGAAAGTAAATTCCAAGTTATGTGGAGTATAAATGTGTGGTGTGGAATTGTAGGTGATTGCTTGGTAGGGTCATATTTTTTTGAAGGTATGTACATATATTTTTAATCAAAATATATTAAACAGCCACATCTGTAAAAAAATATTAAACATTACATTAATATATTTCATTTAGGTATATTAACTGGGGAAAAATATTTAAACTTTTTAAAAAATATTTTACCCATATTATTGGAAGATGTGCCTCTTGACATACGGAACGATATGTACTTTCAACAAGATGGTTGCCCAGCTCATAATGCTAAGATTGTAAAATCATTCTTAAATGACACATTTGGTAAAAAATGGATTGGAACAGTTGGTCCAATTTCCTGGCCTCCAAAGTCTCCAGATTGAACATGCCCAGACTTTTTCTTATGGGGTTATCTTAAAGATAAAGTGTATAAAACTGAATCTGTAGACATCAATGACATGAAAGAAAAAATAAAATCTGCATGTTTTAAATTGTCAAAAGAAACATTAAAAAATGCCACTGGACGAAAGTTAATGGAACGTTTCGAAAACTGTGTACTAGAAGCTGGACATCAATTTGAACACCTAATGCAATAGGTGTCTTTTAGTAAGATGCTTTAGTGATATGGTTTAACTTATAGATACTACACAATAAATAATTTAACGAGTACATTTTATTTAATTAATCATACATAAAGATCTTCATACCTACTTCTATAATCGAATAATTGGAATATAATCTTGTTGCGGTTGTGATTATTTGGTATTCATTGTAATATGTAATCTAATTTGATTGAACTGGATATAACAGAGATATAACTTTATTTCAATTATTCCTTCAATATTCTTTCTAAATGATAAACATAATATGTTTAAGCTTTTACAACTTTCATAAAAAAAATTAAAAAAACATTTCAATTAGGTACCTACCATAAATTAATTTTTAAATTATAAAGACTAGATTCTTGTGCAAATTAAAATTTTCACTTTGTAATTCCATATCTAAAATTGTATTGAATTTGTACCTATGTATTCGTAAATCTCTATGGATCGAAATCGATTAATTTTAATAGTTTTATTTTGCATAGCAAAAATGTGACAACTAACGATCATGATATACAAATACAATGTATAACCATTTGGCTATTATAGTATGAAAGCATGATAGTTAATTAACAAAATATTATAAATTAAATTAAATTATATTATGGGTGCCTATTAAACACAAATACATGAAATTGAATTTTGCATAGTTCAAAATTTTAATTGATTTTTAGGTATTTGGTGCACAAAAATCTGGTCTTGGTCTTTAGTAATACAATTTAATTTATAAGTAACTCATAAAGTAGTTAATAGGTTACTATAACTAAGGCTATTATCTATTTAAAAAATAACTACTTACTAAGGAAAAATTTCCTGCCAAAAATCAAACTTTCCAAATGGTTTTCTCACGATTAAATGATGGTTTGAACGTTTTTCTAGTAACAAATTCCCAGTAACAATATACAACTGTACGAGTACACACACTACGCGTTTGTCAGTTATTTAAATTTAAGTCATCAAATTAATTCGTTAACGGCGTTAACGGCTATTTTTATTTACACATATAGTATTTCAGTAAAAAATAAAAATAAAATAATTTTAAGGTTATAAATCATATCTTTAAACTTATATCACTATTATCATTGATAAAATAATTGAATAATACAAAACGCTATTATCACAGTCTTAGACTCTTATAGGTTATACCTACATATTAATATATTATTTTATTTTACAAAGTCATCGATTGTCAGATTAAGAAATGCAATTAGGACACCATCAATAAAAATAATCTCTAATTGGTAATAATATCAAACGATAATCAGGGGCGTATTCAGCTCTTCTTCCAGGGGGGGGGGGCGAAATTTGAACTCAAATCATAGGTTCTTATAAAAAAATTTGTACATAAACGACAGTGTACAGATTATTAATAAATTGGCGGATCAAAATTGTTCGATCGTTTCGCTTGCTTAAACTTCAATAATTGATTTCTACCCACTTTCATAACCCATAACATTAATTATTGTAAACAACATCAACAGTATACCAAATAAAATAACTTGACATAGGACATAGGTACATATAAATATAAAAGCATATTATAATAACCACATAATATAATAATAGTTTTATTAAATATATAATAATTAATAATAAAATAATATTAAATAACAAAATCCAATTTCCTTTTTGTCTTTGAAAATCGTTCAATAACTTTTGATGTGTCAATATCAATATTTCTATGTATGTTCATTAAAGCCAAACCTGTCAACCTTTTCTGGGACATTTGGCTTCTCAACCATGTTTTTAACCTGGTGTAACATATTTCAGAAAGCATTAAGCAATAAGCAAACAGCCAAAAGCCAAAGGAGTTATGATTAATGCAAAGCAAAAAAGGAGGACAAATTTATAAAAATAATCACAAAATTAAATAAATAAATCAATTAAATATCTAAATCAGACTATCTAAGTAAAGTAATACTAAATAGCGGAAATTAAATAAATATGATAGCATTTTTAACTATAGTTAAGTTATGTCATAAGTAATAACTAGTAGTAAAAAAAATCTAAACTGATTTCGCTCATACTATATGTATATATTTTGTGCTCTTTAGAGTGCATAAATGCATGCATATTTAGTATATTTTAAACCACATAAGTTCTAAGCCCTGCTTTTTACCAAAATTATTTTCTTCTAACTTATAGAAAAGCAAAATATACATGCATACCTCCTTAAAGTAGAGAAGCTGCGTTCTGCTGATGCGATACTTACTGGTAATGTTGCTAATACTACTAAAACCTGTCTAATTGTAGGAAACATGACTGGATGACATTCATCAATAGATTCTAATACATCTTCTGGTATTTTAAGACCTTAAAATAATTTTAAATAAAAAATATGTGACTTTTACCAATCAATATGTAAATTGTATTTAATAAATTAGTATTTACCTTCATTTTTCCTGGAAATCCAATTTGATTTCCATAAATCAACTTCTCCTTTTAAAATGTTAATGTTTATATCCAAAAATATAAAATGTTCAATTACTGTATCAATCATTTTTTTGACATCGAGTGAAGACTTGTTGATTATGTTAGCTGGAATAAATTCAATCAACTGAAAAATAGCTGTTGTTTTTTTATTTAGTAATCTTGATCTCAAGTCTTCTAAAATATTGTCAATTAGGGGAATGTACACAACTCTCCGGTAATATTCCTCTGGTGTATTTGCAGGAGTATTGGCCCTTTTATTTTGAATTTTTGTTAATCTTGGTAACTTGACTTCAATGTCTAAGTCAATCATTTTAGTTTTAGCTTCAAGAAATATTTCACTAAAATATTCTTCAGCATTTAATCTTTTATCTTCTAAATTTTGTACTATACTGGTAATACAGCTGGAAGCAGCACTTACATCTAAATTAACTCCTTGTAACATTTTACTGGCTGGTAGTGTAATACTGAGGATATTTGATAATATATACAATGTTATAATAAATTCACAATTGCACAAACTCAGGAGTAATGAGTTAGCTTTAGATGATGATACTTGATCTGTCCATTGAGATATATGTGTTAGACTTTCTATAATTTCTGACATGTTGGTTTCAAAGTCTATTATACTAGTGTGACGTTCTACCCAACGTGTAACACACAAACTGGTTAATGATGTCTTAGAACTTTTGGAACTTTTAAGGTTATTTTTCAAGATGAAATTCCTTTTGGAAGATAAATGAAAAAATGAAATGGTTTCTTGGAGAATTCCCATAGTATTTCTAACGATTTGGACTTTCGAAGATTTAGAAATTGATAAGTTTAGAGCATGATTAGTGCAAGGGCTGTATATAGCATTTGGACAGCTTTTCTGGACTTCTTGCACAGCTCCTCTTAACACTGATGTCATAACAGAACAACCATCCGTGCCAATTCCTATACAGTTTTTAAGGTTAAGTGACATTTCTTTTAACTCTGATACTACTATATTTCCAAGTACATTTCCTGAAAAAATCAAGGTAAATTAGATTTTTAATTAAAATAATACAATTAAATAAATAATTTATTCACCTGTTAGCTTTGGTTCTTTAGATAAATGGTCATCAATCAATGTATTTGACAAATCATTATTTGGAATGGCAGTCTGGTTTTTATTAAATGTATCATAACAATTGATAAAACCAACGAAACGTTCATAAATGTTATTTTTCTTATCAATGTACCTTAAAGTTAAACTCATTTGTGATATATGAGACACATCGGTCGTTTCATCAAAGATAATACTGTAAAATTGATTTGTATTTACTTCATCTAATATAAACGACAGTATTTCTTCCTTACAACATTTAATCAGATCTTCTTGGATGATTGGAGAAATATAACTAGCTTTTGAATTAAAATTAAGCAAGTCGTTTTTCAATTTTGTATCACCAGACATAACACGGTATTTCAAAAGTTCGCGAAAATTACCTTCATTCTTCACAATAGAATAAGTTGGATCAGTTAAATTTTTAGAGTCTTCATTATCATGAAATATTATTTGTCCTGAGTCACGGTGCCCTCTGAAAGGTATATTTTGGCGTCCCAAAAAAATTATAGTTTCTATTATAGGTTTTAACCGGTTTCTGTTTTCTTGAACTTGTCTTAAACGTTCACTGTTTAGAATATTATTAACCTGCTTATTAGGTGAGTTGTAAGTTTTTAAAAAGTCACTTGATTTTAAAATTGCATCCTGATGGTAATGATTTTGATTATGTTTTTCTAAATATCCATCCTTACCAAGTAATTTTGAATATTGACTGAGTGGTAATGTTACAAGTTTTTTCAATTCTTCAGTATTTTGTTTTCCACCTTTATTGTGAGTTAAAAAAAGTGTACAATATTTGCAGAAACAGCCAGATTTTGATACAGAATATATCAGCCACGGATATTGGTCAAAATGATTATTTCTTAAAAAACGTTTTTCCTCTTTTCCTTTTTTTTTGTGAATGGAGAATGGATACTCAAAGTTTTTCAGTGGTTTCCAAGGGTTTTCCAACAGTCTACATTTTGTGTGGTCGTCAAGTTTTTTACCAATAAAATTACCAATATCATTATCGAAAACTAAATCTGATGTTATATTATTTTGTTTATTATCATCAAAAATTACATTGAGTTGTGGTATTGCTCGTGGTATTGCTGTTTGAGAAACATTTACTGGCTCATTTGAATCACTTACCTCTGTTGACGATATTTTTTTGTTTGGAAAATAATTTAAGAGAGAAGGCTGTTTCCGCTTCATAGAATCCATAGTAATAAACTAACCTGCTACAGTGTGGTACTGTCGTCTGTCGTACGTGAACTAAAATAAATTTGATTATAGTATTAAAAAAAAAAAAATAATAACATAATCTTGTAAGTTGTAGACGATCAAAATTATAATAGCTCCACTGCTCCACGCTGCCACAGATACAACAACAATAATAATTATTGTATATATCTGTGATTACAGCCAATATAATATATCTAATCTTTTGACTCTTATCAGTTTTATCTACAGCCATAATTGGTTATAGATGTTTTATTAATTGATAACAGGTTTTTGATAACTATTATCCATTTCCAAAAAAAAAAATATGCACTGTATTTTTAATTTTTGTAATATAATATTATAATAAAATATGTAAGCACTTATACATGAAACACATTCAACAATGTCCAGGGGGGGCAATCGCCCCTATCGCCCCCCCCCCCTTGTATACGCCCCTGACGATAATACTGATATACGTTGTTCGATAATATAAAAAGAAATACAAAAAAAAAATAAATGGACTGTAAAATTTTGCTTCATAACGCTTTATTTTACATGATATTGATGGGCGGTAGTATAACGTTCCACCGAATAAACGATGTCGCAGATAGACTGACTTATTATGTGAATATAAGAAATAGTCCACAGATAGCAATATGATAAAATAGCGTTATCGCGATCGCACCATATAAACGGTACCTATTACAACAATATATTATATAACTACCTAACATACGCCCACCTTGAAATAATAATTTTAAAATATATTTCATAATATAACAAACACAAATATTTTCAATTCAATTTAAGAATACAAATATAACAATATAAACCAATAAAAATTTTTAATAATACCACTAATTATGACTGCCTTCAAAGGTAAAGGACATAATAATCGACTGCCTGCTGAATTGACCGCTAGAAGTGAAATTGTCACATGCGAATGTCTCCCATTACCGCTGACATGTACTTTTTCAACTCGACCTATTTTCCGTAGCGCGGGGAAGATTATCATCACGCAAATTATAGTGCTGTCTGCAGTCTAGGTCCTCGCTCTTCCCACTTATTGCGCTGTTGTAACTGTACCAAATAACTTTGACCAACGATTCCAAAACTTCTTATTAAATGAATGACTTCAATTTTCTCCACCTCGTTAACCTATTTAGAGGGTGTTGTCGTGTAATCAGGTTCTGGTAAAGGAGTAAAGAAGCCTGACCAGAAAACACCGGGAGTAAGTAAGAAAATCAGAGGGACGGATGACAAAGGTGTCAATGGCGTGAATTAGGGCGTCCATTCGGTAGAAACGCAACCACCGACCGCGTTTAGTTCTTCTGGTAGGTTAAAGAAGCGCTTCCACACTTATTTAAGTGAGTCTTTACTGATTTGATGGTTGCCTTCTACAGACCTCCGCAAAATGGAGATTCGAGGGATAAAATGCCAACGTATTCCGAGTTCTTAATGTTACCTTAACCGGGACCAATGTATTCGATAAAATAGTTTTGAGTTCGTAATTTACGACGAGCTCACAAAATTGGTGTAGCATTGTTCGAATAAATGTCTGAACATATGCCGCGCTCTACACAAAATCGTCTCAATGCATTTAGAAACACTAGTGCAGATAAGTCAATTAGCTAGTTCTATATGTATTGCTTACAGAAACATGTTAAATATTAAGAGCATAACCTTTGGTTATAGGCGATTTGCGTTGGCCAGATTTACACTAATGGGCCAACACAATCAATGCCGCATATTTTAAAAGGCGGCGACTCGGATTTACACGTTCTTGGTAAATTACCCATTAATGGTTGAACTATTGTTGGTTTTAATCGAAAACGTAATACATTGATGAACATTTTTCTTGCTATATTTCTGCCATTGTCAGGCCAATATTGTTCTTCACGATAAATCGCCTGACCCGCATGCAATAATCTTATGTGTTCATATCGGAATAGTAAAGTCGTTAAATTACTATTAGCAGGTAGTAACATTGCCGATGAAATACGCTTATCGATGCGGCGTTATTTAAACGACCGCCTACCTGCTTTTTCATAGCAATGCCGTAACTGAACGAAGTACAACAAG